CCCCTGTCCCCCGTCCCCCGTCCCCCGTCCCCTGTCCCCCGTCCCCTGTCCCCTGTCCCCCGTCCCCCGTCTCCCGTCCCCCCAGGCTGACATAGAGCGTAGGAAAGCAGCTCATAACGGGGATCAGTGGCTCATGGGCGCACACGACCTGCTGTCACTGCTTTGCTGCTCCCATCCCCCATCCCTCCCCCGTCCCCTGTCCCCCGTCCCCCGTCCCCCGTCCCCTGTCCCCCGTCCCCTGTCCCCTGTCCCCCGTCCCCCGTCTCCCGTCCCCCCAGGCTGACATAGAGCGTAGGAAAGCAGCTCATAACGGGGATCAGTGGCTCATGGGCGCACACGACCTGCTGTCACTGCTTTGCTGCTCCCATCCCCCATCCCTCCCCCGTCCCCTGTCCCCCGTCCCCCGTCCCCCGTCCCCTGTCCCCCGTCCCCTGTCCCCTGTCCCCCGTCCCCCGTCTCCCGTCCCCCCAGGCTGACATAGAGCGTAGGAAAGCAGCTCATAACGGGGATCAGTGGCTCATGGGCGCACACGACCTGCTGTCACTGCTTTGCTGCTCCCATCCCCCATCCCTCCCCCGTCCCCTGTCCCCCGTCCCCCGTCCCCCGTCCCCTGTCCCCCGTCCCCTGTCCCCTGTCCCCCGTCCCCCGTCTCCCGTCCCCCCAGGCTGACATAGAGCGTAGGAAAGCAGCTCATAACGGGGATCAGTGGCTCATGGGCGCACACGACCTGCTGTCACTGCTTTGCTGCTCCCATCCCCCATCCCTCCCCCGTCCCCTGTCCCCCGTCCCCCGTCCCCCGTCCCCTGTCCCCCGTCCCCTGTCCCCTGTCCCCCGTCCCCCGTCTCCCGTCCCCCCAGGCTGACATAGAGCGTAGGAAAGCAGCTCATAACGGGGATCAGTGGCTCATGGGCGCACACGACCTGCTGTCACTGCTTTGCTGCTCCCATCCCCCATCCCTCCCCCGTCCCCCGTCCCCCGTCCCCCGTCCCCTGTCCCCCGTCCCCTGTCCCCTGTCCCCCGTCCCCCGTCTCCCGTCCCCCCAGGCTGACATAGAGCGTAGGAAAGCAGCTCATAACGGGGATCAGTGGCTCATGGGCGCACACGACCTGCTGTCACTGCTTTGCTGCTCCCATCCCCCATCCCTCCCCCGTCCCCTGTCCCCTGTCCCCCGTCCCCCGTCCCCTGTCCCCCGTCCCCTGTCCCCTGTCCCCCGTCCCCCGTCTCCCGTCCCCCCAGGCTGACATAGAGCGTAGGAAAGCAGCTCATAACGGGGATCAGTGGCTCATGGGCGCACACGACCTGCTGTCACTGCTTTGCTGCTCCCATCCCCCATCCCTCCCCCGTCCCCTGTCCCCCGTCCCCCGTCCCCCGTCCCCTGTCCCCCGTCCCCTGTCCCCTGTCCCCCGTCCCCCGTCTCCCGTCCCCCCAGGCTGACATAGAGCGTAGGAAAGCAGCTCATAACGGGGATCAGTGGCTCATGGGCGCACACGACCTGCTGTCACTGCTTTGCTGCTCCCATCCCCCATCCCTCCCCCGTCCCCTGTCCCCCGTCCCCCGTCCCCCGTCCCCTGTCCCCCGTCCCCTGTCCCCTGTCCCCCGTCCCCCGTCTCCCGTCCCCCCAGGCTGACATAGAGCGTAGGAAAGCAGCTCATAACGGGGATCAGTGGCTCATGGGCGCACACGACCTGCTGTCACTGCTTTGCTGCTCCCATCCCCCATCCCTCCCCCGTCCCCTGTCCCCCGTCCCCCGTCCCCCGTCCCCTGTCCCCCGTCCCCTGTCCCCTGTCCCCCGTCCCCCGTCTCCCGTCCCCCCAGGCTGACATAGAGCGTAGGAAAGCAGCTCATAACGGGGATCAGTGGCTCATGGGCGCACACGACCTGCTGTCACTGCTTTGCTGCTCCCATCCCCCATCCCTCCCCCGTCCCCTGTCCCCCGTCCCCCGTCCCCCGTCCCCTGTCCCCCGTCCCCTGTCCCCTGTCCCCCGTCCCCCGTCTCCCGTCCCCCCAGGCTGACATAGAGCGTAGGAAAGCAGCTCATAACGGGGATCAGTGGCTCATGGGCGCACACGACCTGCTGTCACTGCTTTGCTGCTCCCATCCCCCATCCCTCCCCCGTCCCCTGTCCCCCGTCCCCCGTCCCCCGTCCCCTGTCCCCCGTCCCCTGTCCCCTGTCCCCCGTCCCCCGTCTCCCGTCCCCCCAGGCTGACATAGAGCGTAGGAAAGCAGCTCATAACGGGGATCAGTGGCTCATGGGCGCACACGACCTGCTGTCACTGCTTTGCTGCTCCCATCCCCCATCCCTCCCCCGTCCCCTGTCCCCCGTCCCCCGTCCCCCGTCCCCTGTCCCCCGTCCCCTGTCCCCTGTCCCCCGTCCCCCGTCTCCCGTCCCCCCAGGCTGACATAGAGCGTAGGAAAGCAGCTCATAACGGGGATCAGTGGCTCATGGGCGCACACGACCTGCTGTCACTGCTTTGCTGCTCCCATCCCCCATCCCTCCCCCGTCCCCTGTCCCCCGTCCCCCGTCCCCCGTCCCCTGTCCCCCGTCCCCTGTCCCCTGTCCCCCGTCCCCCGTCTCCCGTCCCCCCAGGCTGACATAGAGCGTAGGAAAGCAGCTCATAACGGGGATCAGTGGCTCATGGGCGCACACGACCTGCTGTCACTGCTTTGCTGCTCCCATCCCCCATCCCTCCCCCGTCCCCTGTCCCCCGTCCCCCGTCCCCCGTCCCCTGTCCCCCGTCCCCTGTCCCCTGTCCCCCGTCCCCCGTCTCCCGTCCCCCCAGGCTGACATAGAGCGTAGGAAAGCAGCTCATAACGGGGATCAGGGGCTCATGGGCGCACACGACCTGCTGTCACTGCTTTGCTGCTCCCATCCCCCATCCCTCCCCCGTCCCCTGTCCCCCGTCCCCCGTCCCCCGTCCCCTGTCCCCCGTCCCCTGTCCCCTGTCCCCCGTCCCCCGTCTCCCGTCCCCCCAGGCTGACATAGAGCGTAGGAAAGCAGCTCATAACGGGGATCAGTGGCTCATGGGCGCACACGACCTGCTGTCACTGCTTTGCTGCTCCCATCCCCCATCCCTCCCCCGTCCCCTGTCCCCCGTCCCCCGTCCCCCGTCCCCTGTCCCCCGTCCCCTGTCCCCTGTCCCCCGTCCCCCGTCTCCCGTCCCCCCAGGCTGACATAGAGCGTAGGAAAGCAGCTCATAACGGGGATCAGTGGCTCATGGGCGCACACGACCTGCTGTCACTGCTTTGCTGCTCCCATCCCCCATCCCTCCCCCGTCCCCTGTCCCCCGTCCCCCGTCCCCCGTCCCCTGTCCCCCGTCCCCTGTCCCCTGTCCCCCGTCCCCCGTCTCCCGTCCCCCCAGGCTGACATAGAGCGTAGGAAAGCAGCTCATAACGGGGATCAGTGGCTCATGGGCGCACACGACCTGCTGTCACTGCTTTGCTGCTCCCATCCCCCATCCCTCCCCCGTCCCCTGTCCCCCGTCCCCCGTCCCCCGTCCCCTGTCCCCCGTCCCCTGTCCCCTGTCCCCCGTCCCCCGTCTCCCGTCCCCCCAGGCTGACATAGAGCGTAGGAAAGCAGCTCATAACGGGGATCAGTGGCTCATGGGCGCACACGACCTGCTGTCACTGCTTTGCTGCTCCCATCCCCCATCCCTCCCCCGTCCCCTGTCCCCCGTCCCCCGTCCCCCGTCCCCTGTCCCCCGTCCCCTGTCCCCTGTCCCCCGTCCCCCGTCTCCCGTCCCCCCAGGCTGACATAGAGCGTAGGAAAGCAGCTCATAACGGGGATCAGTGGCTCATGGGCGCACACGACCTGCTGTCACTGCTTTGCTGCTCCCATCCCCCATCCCTCCCCCGTCCCCTGTCCCCCGTCCCCCGTCCCCCGTCCCCTGTCCCCCGTCCCCTGTCCCCTGTCCCCCGTCCCCCGTCTCCCGTCCCCCCAGGCTGACATAGAGCGTAGGAAAGCAGCTCATAACGGGGATCAGGGGCTCATGGGCGCACACGACCTGCTGTCACTGCTTTGCTGCTCCCATCCCCCATCCCTCCCCCGTCCCCTGTCCCCCGTCCCCCGTCCCCCGTCCCCTGTCCCCCGTCCCCTGTCCCCTGTCCCCCGTCCCCCGTCTCCCGTCCCCCCAGGCTGACATAGAGCGTAGGAAAGCAGCTCATAACGGGGATCAGTGGCTCATGGGCGCACACGACCTGCTGTCACTGCTTTGCTGCTCCCATCCCCCATCCCTCCCCCGTCCCCTGTCCCCCGTCCCCCGTCCCCCGTCCCCTGTCCCCCGTCCCCTGTCCCCTGTCCCCCGTCCCCCGTCTCCCGTCCCCCCAGGCTGACATAGAGCGTAGGAAAGCAGCTCATAACGGGGATCAGTGGCTCATGGGCGCACACGACCTGCTGTCACTGCTTTGCTGCTCCCATCCCCCATCCCTCCCCCGTCCCCTGTCCCCCGTCCCCCGTCCCCCGTCCCCTGTCCCCCGTCCCCTGTCCCCTGTCCCCCGTCCCCCGTCTCCCGTCCCCCCAGGCTGACATAGAGCGTAGGAAAGCAGCTCATAACGGGGATCAGTGGCTCATGGGCGCACACGACCTGCTGTCACTGCTTTGCTGCTCCCATCCCCCATCCCTCCCCCGTCCCCTGTCCCCCGTCCCCCGTCCCCCGTCCCCTGTCCCCCGTCCCCTGTCCCCTGTCCCCCGTCCCCCGTCTCCCGTCCCCCCAGGCTGACATAGAGCGTAGGAAAGCAGCTCATAACGGGGATCAGTGGCTCATGGGCGCACACGACCTGCTGTCACTGCTTTGCTGCTCCCATCCCCCATCCCTCCCCCGTCCCCTGTCCCCCGTCCCCCGTCCCCCGTCCCCCGTCCCCTGTCCCCCGTCCCCTGTCCCCTGTCCCCCGTCCCCCGTCTCCCGTCCCCCCAGGCTGACATAGAGCGTAGGAAAGCAGCTCATAACGGGGATCAGTGGCCCACGGGCGCAACCGACCTGCCATCGCTGCTGCTGTCCGTGCTCATGCCCATGTACCTGTTCCCCGCGGAGGAGCGAGTGGGCGCCTGGGGGGATGGAGGAAAGGTGCGTGAGTGGTTGAGTTTTTTTTTTGTTACTTCTCCGCCCCTTGGGCCGTCGCTGCTGCTGTCTGTGCTGGTGCCCCCTTTTCCACATACCTGTGCCCGGCAGAGGAGCGAGTGGGTGCGTGGAGGGACAGAGGGAAGGCGAGTGAATGGCTGGGTTGGGCTCTTCCGGTTACTCCTTACCTACCACCCCTCTCCTCTGCTGCTGTCAGTGTTCATGCCCACTTACCCGTGTCCGGCAGAGGAGCGAGTGGGCGCCTGGGGGAAAGGTGAGAGGCGTAGAACGGTGCTGGGGGAATGGGGATGGTGGGGAGGTGATTGGCTGGGTTCTCTCCCCTCTCCTCCTGCTCCTCTTCCCCTGCTGCTGTCCGTGCTCATGCCCGCTTAGCCTTGCCCCGCAGAGGAGCAAGTGGGCGCATGGGGGGGGTGGGGGAGCGGTGAGGAGGTTGTGGGGCGATTGTTTATTACTAGGATTTCTCGATCGGTTAACGCAAAACCTCACTGAACCTAACTGATGCGTTATCAGTCCCATTCTTCGTCCGAAAATTCTCACCCCTCACTTTGTTTTGATCTCCACTGCAGTGGGTGTACCTGCTGCCATGCCAATTAACCCCCTCCCTCCCTCCCTCCCTCCCTCCCTCCCTCCCTCCCTCCCTCCCTCCCTCCCTCCCTCCCTCCCTCCCTCCCTCCCTCCCTCCATCCCTCCTTCCCTCCCTCCCTCCCTCCCTCCCTCCCTCCCTCCCTCCCTCCCTCCCTCCCTCCCTCCCTCCCTCCCCCCCCCTCCCTCCCTCCCTCCCTCCCTCCCTCCCTCCCTCCCTCCCTCCCTCCCTCCCTCCCTCCCTCCCTCCCTCCCTCCCTCCCTCCCCCCCTCCCCCCCTCCCTCCCTCCCTCCCTCCCTCCCTCCCTCCCTCCCTCCCTCCCTCCCTCCCTCCCTCCCTCCCTCCCTCCCTCCCTCCCTCCCTCCCTCCCTCCCCCCCTCCCCCCCTCCCTCCCTCCCTCCCTCCCTCCCTCCCTCCCTCCCTCCCTCCCTCCCTCCCTCCCTCCCTCCCTCCCTCACTCCCTCCCTCCTCTCCTCTCCTCTCCCCTCCCCTCCCCTGGTCCCTTCCTCGCTTACTATCCACGGCAGTCTGTATGCGATGCATGCTGCCAAATGTCCCATTCCCTCTCTCCCGCATCTCTCCTCGCTCCCCTGCCTGCCTCTCCCTCACCTTACTATCCACTGCAATATGTATGCATGCTGCCATCTAACCCTCGCCCTCTCTTTCCTCTTTCCCCCTCCGCTGCCTTCCCCCCATCTACCCCCCGCTCTCTCCCCTCCTTCCTCCACCTCCCCCCACCTTCTTCCCTTGCCCCCATCCCACCTTGCCCTCCACCGCAATAGGTGTGTATACTTCCAACTGCGATCCGAAAAAACTCTGTAGTGTACAGGTAAGATGTGTGAACTTGTGAAGTGTTGGACCAAAAACCCTGTGGTGTACAGGTAAGCAGTGTGAAGTGTTACCTCAAATCCCTGTTCCAACAGAAAAGTTGCCTCAATCGAACCCGGTATGCCACACAACCCTATTGTGTTCAGGTATGCAGTGGGTATCTGACACGGGGGGGTCATAACCCCCTCCTCCCGCCACCCTCTCCCCTGCTTCCCCATGTCTCCCCGCCCCCCCTCCCCTTCCCCCCCACAACCCCAGTGTGGGGGGTAAGACTTGGTGGCCTTTTTACATGAGGACTTGGTGGTGCCTCCCCTGAGCCTCGACTGTGGGAGTGTGCTGCGGTGGTCTCGGGTTTTGGATTATGTTGCGCAGTGGTTGCCTGGAGGAGGAGGAGGATGGACAGGGGCAGGGGGAGGGGGAGGGCGAGGGCGAGGGGGAGGGGAAGGAGGAGGGGAAGGGGGAGGGGAAGGGGGAGGGGAAGGGGGAGGGGAAGGGGAAGGGGGGGAGGGAGGGAGAGGGGAAGGGGGTGAGGGTGACAGTGGTGGTGATGACGGTGGTGTTGCGTAGCTTACCCCAAGCCCAACCCGCTGTGCTACCCGTGCATCAAGGTGGCCTTTATACATGAAGACCTGGTGGTGCCTCCCCTCAGCCTCGACTGTGCGGGTGTGCTGCGGCGGTCTCAGGTTTCGGACTATGTTGCACAGTGGTTGCCGGGAGGAGGAGGGGGATGGAAAGGGGGAGGGGAAGGGGAAGGGGGAGAGGGAGTGGAAGTAATATGCAAGTACACATCCACCAGCCACAAGTGAAGTACGGTACAGGTTGCTGTAAGTGGTGCTATACTTAATGGTTTTTGAGAATGGGGAGGGGGTTATGGTTCGTATCGTAGCCACATCCACCAGCCACAAGTTATGTGAGGGGATGATACGGTACCCGTTGCTGAAAGTGGTGCTATACTTTATCGAACAGAGTGCGAGGCGAGGACTCGGCGATTGACCGAGCTGTAATTCTAGACCTGGCCCTGCTGCCACTACCATCTAAGCCTTCCCCGTGTACAAAGTGTATTTTTGAAACGTCTCAAAAATACACTTGTTACACTTGGCAATTGACCGAGCTGTAATTCTAGACGTGGCCCTGCTGCCAGTACCATCTAAGCCTTCCCTCCCAGCAACCCAGTCAATCAAGCCAGCCAAACCATCTAAACTGTCAGTGGGTTATACTCACTATAAGCTGCCCTGTGTGCTCCCGTTCTGCTCTGCCCCATCCCATCACTTCACATCCTGTACTTTTTCAGTCCCATCCTCTTCACCCCCCTATTTTTGCCTTATCACGTTCTGTCCCTTGCATTTCCCTTCTCTTCCCCGACATTATGCGTCTGATATGACAGCTCGGCAGCGCCGTGTAGTGGCGAGGTGTATTACCGTATTACCCCGGATATAAGCGCACCTGCGCTTATAATAAAACAGTGTTTTTTAGGGGGGTGCGCTTATAATTGAGTCAAATTTATAAGCGCATGCGCTTATATAATGGCAAATACATAATTATGATTTAAAGCACCAAATTGTGCATCCCAGTACAGTTGCATTTTCAATCAAATCGAAATGGGCGTCAGAATCGCGCGAGGGCGATTTTCTGCCGGCGCACAGGGGCAAGGACACGTCAAGCTTGCCCCAGCCCAGTGTATGAGCCAATCACATGCAGTCGCTCGCTCAGTGAACAGCCCCCACGGCTGTGCTGTCAGTCAGCTTCGCCCCAGGCCAGCATGCGAGCCACTCGCGTGCAGTCGCTCGGTCGCAGCGCACAGGCACGGCCCCTTTTCCCACCCCCCCCTTCGCCCCGAAAGGGCTGTCAGTCAACGGCTTCGCAAGGTTCCGCCTTTCCTGATCGAATCGCCCGTGCTCAAGAGAGTCAACCGAAGTACGGCAGAAATGGATGTGGGTGGACTCGCTGCAAAACAGGGAATCGTTACCGTTTTAATCATGATTTAAAATAAAATTTGTACATGCGCTTATAATAAATCAGGGTTTTACAGGGGGTGCGCTTATAAATGAGGATCGGCCATAAGCGCATTGCTCCAGATATAAGCGCATGCGCTTTTAATAGGCCTGCGCTTATATCCGGGGTGATACGGTACTTGGTTGGCTTGAATTGTGACTGCAATAGGTGCTTGAATGCCTTGAATTGAGACCGCAATAGGTGCCTTGAATTGAGACCGCAATAGGCGGCAACAATACTTCAACCCAAAAGACTTTCAGGTAGCATTCCCGTCCCCGATATAACACGAGCCAATAAATATGAATATTTTTAAAAGCTGTAACGCTTTTCAAAATTTTGTATTTTGAAAGCGAAGCGGCTTGTAATGTAGCAATGGTCATCGGCGAACCGCGCTAAACGCCCGTTTTGGAGTACAAAACGTGGGCTGGAGGTCATTTCCCTCCACCCACGTCTTTCATTTTCAAACGGCTTAGCCTAGTTTCCCGCCCACCCACCCCGTAGAACTGGGACCAATTATGGATAGTTGATTGCTTTAGAATAACTGCATGCTAGCTTGGACATGTCTGTACTTTGCCATTTGAAATGAGACGATGCCATTGCTACAACAAGAAAGCAAGCTTTCTAAAATGCATAGAAATACACCAGATAGATAAGCCACTTGTTAAACCACCTTGGTGAACTTTCCACAGAGCGCCACATTGTTTTTCGTATAGCCAGCTCTGACGATTTTCCCATCCGCCATGGCAAAAGCCAACGAGCTACGAAGTCCTGCCAAACCCTTCCCGTAAAACTCTTTCTGCGCGAAGCTGTAACGGTTGCAGCGAGCCATCTTGCTATTCGTAACGTTCACCCGATTTGCGCCCAGATACCGTATCGCCCCGGATATAATCGCAGGCCTATGTTAAGCGCATGCGCTTCTATCTGGAGCAATGCGCTTATGGCCGATCCTCAATTAGAAGCGCACCCTCTAAAAAAACCTTACTTATTATAAGCGCACCCTTGCTGTATAGACAAGAATGTCTGTTGTTTTTTTCACTTTCTTTACAACCTTCGTACAAACTACATTACTCTAGCTAAAAATTTCAACTAAAACTTTCAAGTCAAATACATTAGACTAGCATCCTAGCCTACACAACATTTTTAAGTTTAATCTAGCCTAAGGCCTACTCCTCGTCCGACTCAGGCTCCGTGGAGTTGTTGCCAAAGAACCCGTCTGCTTGGATGTCGTCATCAACCTCTACCTCGTGGGATAGCTGACCTCTCCGGTGCGCCAGCACCAGTCCGTCTTCACTCCCGTCAAGGGCATTGCTGATGCCGCAGGTGAGGAACGCTCTCTTAATCAGGTCGGCGGGCACAGCTTTCCACGCCCGTGAAATCCACTTGAGCACCACCTCCGGAGATGGTTTCTTAATGTTCCCTGCACCACATACACGGGGGTGGGAAACACGTGGGTCCACAAGTAGGCAGACATACAGACGAAGCGGTCACGGGAGAACACTTTTGCGTACCTGCGGGTGTCAGGATGTTCATGCCGTCCTGCTCGAACCAGGTCTGGTACTGCTGCCGAACACTCACCTTGAAGCTTTTGTTGACCGACACATCGAGCGGCTGCAAGTCTGCCGTGCATCCCGCTGGGATGACCGCCGGCACGATGTTGAGTTCCGCGAACTTCGCCTTGACTTCGGGTGTCAGGTGTCCACGATAGGAGTCGAGCACTAGCATGGCGCTCCGGCTCTGCAATCCGAACTTCGGTTTCAGGAACGGCACCACGCCTGCACCGAGCCACTCGATTACACCCGAGGCCTCCATCCACCCGTTAGCTTGGCAACCGACCACGACATCTGCATACAAGCAAGCGGTGGTTAGATTTTACTTTTGTTTTTCCCCTCGGAAACACGCGCATACGCAGTTTCTTACCGTTCGGAAAGTCACCCTTTGGGAGGGTCTTGCGCTTGAAAAACACCCACGGCTTCAACTTCTCGCCTGTCGCCGTGCACGCCAGCATCACAGTGACTCTCTCTTTCTGGTAACCACCACTGCGGATGGGCACCGACTTCACGCCCGTCTGCTCCACCGTGGTAGTCGCCGGCATCTCCAGCCACAAAGGCGTCTGGTCGGCATTGATGATGTAACGATTGTCGATGTCGTAGTCGTGGCGTGCGTCGCGGACAAACTGCCAAAATTCCTTGCACTGCTTGGCCACGTCTGCGCACGGGGAGGGAGGAACGGTTACAAGGGCGGATGAGCACCGCTACAGATAAACAAACATGGGCAAGAAAGTACTGAAATACAAGATAAAATTTCACGATAGGATGACAGTGCACGGACAGGCACTTACGCTGCTGTGTCTTTTGCGCCACCTTTGTTTTCATGCGCATGGTGAGATTCCACCGCTTGCGGAACCGCTCCGTCCAGCGCTGACTCGCCTTCCACTTGACGTCCGGGAACAACACCTTCATCACCTCTTTTGACCAGTCTTGCAGCCGGTCGACTGATACTGCCACACCGCGGCGTCGCCAGTCCAGGAGTTGGGCGTACACCTTCATCTCCATGGGTCTGTACCAGGAAGACCTTCCGCGCCCATGAAGTCGACACCGAGCACTGTGTGCAGCCTTGAGCTCCTCCGCTTGGTTTTTCCACTCTGTGAGGCATTTGCGGTGTATGCCGGACTCCCGCGCGACCTCGCTTATCGATGCAGCAAGCTCCAGCCGAACGAGCCACTTCAGTTTCTCCTGGGCGGTGTAGCGCTGCCGTTTGTGTTGAGTCGGCTTGTGCCTGGGAGAGGGGGGGCGGGCATCTCGGTTCTCAGAGGAGGGGTGGGGTCGTTTTTTGTTAATCGACGGATACGTTGGTATCGGCATCTTCTCGCGTGGTGCGTCGCGCCACCAAGACTCCACACCGTCGTCGTCCGCGTCTGTAGCTTCACGATCTGGGAACACGTCCTCCTCGGCGCCCTCTTCACCGTCGACTCCACCGTCGCCTCCAGCATCGCCGTCGCATGTGGGTTGTTTATCGGCGGCCACGTCATCGTCGGCGCCCACAGCCGACTCGTCCCACATGCAGGCTTCAGGATTTCCCCACCGAGGTGCAGTCGGCGAACCATTGATTTGCCTAGCCTTGGGTGTGTCCGGTTCAGACAACCACTCGTCGAAAGTGGCAGGCAAATATAACTGGAGCACGGGCCGATGGTGACCCCACGCGTCAGGAACAGGAGGAGTCGGAGGATTCGGAGGAGCGGGAGGAGCAGGAGGAGCAGGAGGTGCAGGAGGAGCAGGCGGAGCAGGCGGTGCAGGGGGTGTAGGTGGCACTGGAGGCGCTGGTGGCTCACGTGTATACCACCCGTCCGAGGTTAGTCGCCAGGCGCGGGTTGGTTTCTTCTTGAAAAGGAGGTGCGTCCCACTGAATTCCGCCATGGCTTTGCTAGCCAGGCGGGCTAGACTAGAAACTGAATGAAAAAAATGAGGAGGAGGGTGCAGAAATGGGCAACGACGGGGACCCCTGCGGGCTAGCGGCTCGGGGTCCTCGTCAATGACAGGCAGGAAACCCCCGCCTACCCCCGTAGAGGAACCTGCGTGGCAGCATATTCGCTGCGCTGGCAGGGAATCTTCCCCACCCTTCGAGAGGGTTCGGAAGAAATGCAGATGCCACGCAGCGCATGCGGCTGTGATTGGGCCGCACGGCAACATCCCCGTCACTCCTGTCACGTTCGATGGTTCTAGACAACTTTGTGCGGTGGGAAACCGAACCGCAGCTGTTTTTGCCTGAAAACCATGCTGTAGCAGATGAAACAGCAGATGAACTGGCAGCAGCAGCAGCAGTGGTAGAAGCAGCTGGATGACACCTTGCTATAAGGCTAGAAACAGCAGTAACTGTTGCAGGAGTGGTAACTGGGTGTCTTGAAGCAGCAGCAGCGGTTTACTGAATCCACAGTAACTGTTGCCTCAGTGGTAACTACTTTCTCAGGAGAAGCAGCAGCGGTAGCGTCAGTGGTGATTGCCTTTCCTGTAAGATTAGTGGTAACTACTTTTTCCGAAGCAGCAGCAATCGTAGGATCAGCGGCACCAGACTTCTCCAAATCAGCAGCCACAGTGGTAGTACCAGTGGTGACTGCTGTTTCAGAATCTGCAGCAATGCTTGTATCACCTGCATCTGCTTTCCCTGGAGAAGCAGCAACCATGGAAACAGCAGCACCAGCCTTTTCCAAATCAGAAGTCATGGTAACTTCGGCAACGCTTGTATCAGCTGCAACTGTTGTTCCCGAAGCAGCAGTGACAGTAGGATCAGCAGGACCAGCATTTTTCGAAACAGCAGCCACGGTTGCAGAAGTATCAGTGGTAACTGCTGTTCCAAAATCTGCAGCAACACTTGCATCACTTGAATCTGCTTTTCCCGAAGCAGCAGCAACCGTAGGATCAGCGATACCAGCCTTCTCCGAAACAGGAACCACGGTAGTAGGATCAGTGGTAACTGCTGTTTCAAAATCTGCAGCAGTGATTGTATCTGCTGCAGCGGATTTTCCTGAAACAGCATCGACTGTCGGATCCGTGGTAACTGCTGTTCCAGAACCTGCGGCAACGTTTGTATCAGTTGCAATTGGCTTTCCTGAAGCAGCATCGACCATCAGATCAGTTGCAACAGCTGTGGCAGAATCTGCAGCTAAGTTTGCATCAGTTGCAGCTGCTTCTCCTGAAGCAACAGCGACCGTAGGATCTGCAACAACAGCCTTTTCCAAACCAGTAGCCACGGGATTGGTATCATTGATAACTGCTGTGGCAGATTCTGCAGCAACGTTTGCATCTGTTGCACCTGCGTTTTCCGAAGCAGCAGCGACCGTAGGATTAGCTGTACCAGCGTTTTCCAAATCAGCAGTCACGATGGTAGTAGCATCAGCGGTATCTGCATTTCCAGAAGCATCACCCACCATAGTATCACGAGTAAACGCCTTTGCAGCAGTAACGGCACTATCAGCTGGCTTCCCCGAAACAGCAGTAACAGTAGCATCGGTAACTTCTTTCCCTATAGCATCAGTCTCAACATGAACTGCTGCTACCGAAGCAGCATCAACTGTGGTACCAGTGGTAACAGCCTTTCTTGAAGCAGCAGCGGTCGTAGTACGGTGATTTTTTACACGCCTCAGAAATCGCCTCATCTTGGTATTATTGCTGAATGCGTTTCCAGGAGCAGCACTACAAGCAGGAGCAGCACTAAAGGCAGGAGCAGCACTACAAGCAGGAGCAGCACTAAAGGCAGGAGCAGCACTAAAAGCAGGAGCAGCACTAACGACAGGAGCAGCACTAAAAGCCAGAGCAGCACTAACGACAGGAGCAGCACTGAAAGCAGGAGCAGCACTAAAAGCAGGAGCAGCACTAACGACAGGAGCAGCACTAAAAGCCAGAGCAGCACTAATGGCAGGAGCAGCACTAACGACAGGAGCAGCACTAACGACAGGAGCAGCACTAAGGGCACCAGTAGCTACCGGAAGGGGGGATAAAGCACTAGCATCCTGTTCGGAACACGAGGGAGAGATCTGTTCGGAACACGAGGGAGAGATCTGTTCGGAGCGCGAGGGAGAGGGCAGCAGATCGTCCGTGCTGACAGCAACCGACGTGCCGCTGAAGGTTGGAACTGAACATGTGTGGTCCTTCAAGACGTCATTGTCAATGCTAACGTTTACTTTAACGTCAACGTCCGCGTCTACGTTAACGTCAGCGTCAGCGTCTATGTTAACGTCCACACGTAACGGATTTAGCTCCTGGAAAATAAAGGCGTCGTGGAGATCTTCGTCCGTGGAGAGCACGATGACGTCACCGTCCGTGTCTGTGTAAGTCAGCGAGATCGGCTTGCTGGCGGGGATGTCGAGAGACGCGAAAATCTGAAGGCTGACGTGGCGGAAGGACGGAGGGGAGCAGCGGGACGAGATGCGACGCAAAACGCCATTGCAGTTGACCTGGGGGGGAGAGGAAACGGAGGAGAGGGGGGAACGGGAAGGGGGGAAGAGGGGAGCGAAAAGGACGGCGGGGAGGGCACGCGGAGAGGAGGGAAAACGGGTGAAGATGAAAAGGGGTGGAAGAGAAAACAATGGTTTCGCCTGAGTTTGAGGGATAGGAAGTCAGAAATGTGCCTCGCAAGGCGGCGACTTGCGCTTCGCAGCTCAACTGTAGGATGACGAGCCGAAAGGGACTCGATTGAACCGACAAGAACCAGGCGCCATCGAAAATTTGGTTAGATGAGAAAACTAAACGCTTTAAAGATCCAAAGATACTTCATTCCTGAGAAATAAATCTAGAAGTTACTTGCTACACAGCGACGCGTTGCCAGCGCGGGCAGTGAAATATCTCCGCTCACCTTCATGACATAGAGGGTCGACATGGCGGTAACGCTAATCTGGCCGTGAGAAATTAATACACTAAACCAAAAGGAACGGCGAGTTACACGGAGGTTCTCATTAGTAGCTGCCTGGCAGCGGGGCGTCTGAACGAGATATTCAGCACCCGTGGAAATTTATTCTCTTAGCTACGACGAACTTCGTTGAACGGCGCATCACACGGAAATTCCCATCAGCGGTTGTCTGGCAGCGGGACGTCTGAACGAAAAAGTCGGCACCTACTACGAATTTGAAAGCTGTGCACACCACTATGGCAAAAAATTTGAGAGAATGGGGGAATTCAGGCGTTGGTTCCACCAAAATAATCACAACCTGCGGCGGTGGCGGTAATGCAACCTGCGGCGCGTCCTTTGTCCTTCACCCCCCCCGAGCATGATCCTGATGCGGTGCGCCTGGCTCGCTGCCGCACAAGGTGCAAAGTGGGAGAATGGAGTCGGGGTTTGGCGTGTCTTACTGCCGGTAGCATCGCTCAGCCCTCTCAGCACATGGTGGACGCGCTGCGAGCGAAACACCCATCGAGCGAGACCGCCATTCCGGAGTGGTTGCAGGAGGAGATAGTTGAGCCTTCCCTTATCCCGCAGCTCTCAGTGGAGGTACTTGGTCAGGCGATCCACTCTGCGGCTAGGGCGTCGGCACCAGGACCGTCGGGGTGGGTGACGGAGCACCTGCGCGACACTTTTCTCTCTGAGCCCGCATACCTGCCTCACCTGCTAGGAGTCTTCACCCAGTGGACCAAGGGAGAGGTAGCGGAGCGCGTGCGACCCTGGCTCACTGCGTCCAACCTTGTGGGCCTGTCGAAGCCGAATGGTGACGTTCGCCCGGTGGCTATAGGCGAGGTGCTCCCCCGCATACTATCTCGGGCCCTATGCATCGTGCTTCGGCCGAAGATGATGTCGCACTTTGCGCCGTGTAACCAGCTAGGAGTCGGATCCAGGTCGGGAGTGGAAGTCCTCGCACATGCCTTTCGTTCTGCCATCTCTACTCACCCGTCATGGTGCGCGCTTCAAATTGATGTGGCGAATGCTTTCAACTCCTTCCATCGGCGGGAAATGTTTGAAGGACTTCGACAGTCGCCTTTTGCGGGTTTGATCCCATTCCTGCGTGTCTTCTACGGCACTCCTAGCGACCTCTACCTCCGTGCGGGCCCCTTCGTCGAAGCTTTGGCTTCAGAGCGAGGATCGAGGCAAGGGGACCCATTGGGGCCGTTTCTGTTCGCGTTCACACAGCAGCTGGTTATGGAGCCCACCAAACAAGAATTCGCCGACCTACTCTTTCTCAGCTACGCCGATGATACGTACATCTTGGGGCCTAGGGAGCGGGTGCTAGCAGCTTATGAGGTCTTGCGGGAACGACTGGGCGGGCTTGGTCTGGAGGTGCAGCCGCATAAGTGCAAGCTTTGGGAGCGAGGGGTGGACCAGGAGGGAGAGGAGAGGAACGAGACCGTCCCGCCCGGCATGCAGCAAACATGGACGGGGCTCACCGTAGTGGGGGTTCCTATTGGGGAGGAGGAGTGGGAGGTGGCCAGCTTGCGAGGCCGGCTGATGCAGCTGCATGCACCTGTCCCTTGGCTTCCTTTGCTCGACCACCCACAGATTGCGTCCCATCTGCTGGCGATCGCAGTGTCAGCGCGCCCGATTTACCTCACAAGGACGATGCCTCCACGGCCTGAGGTTGTGGAGGCTTTCCGCGACTGGGACACGAAGCTTGAGGATTGTTTTGAGCAGCTGTTTCCAGATAGCACCTGGGATCATGATTCGGCAAGGTCGCAGATGGCCCGTCTACAGCTGCACCTTCCAGCCAGACTTGGAGGGTTTGGCATTCGATCTGCAGCTGACCTTAGCCCTCTGTCGTACGCATGTGGTTGGTGCCAGGCAGTGAGCGATGTGGCTCGGATGGGGGTGGCAGGGGAGGAACGGATGTTTGAGGAGTTTTTCCGCACGCCCGAGGCTACGACCTTGCTGGATCCTTGGTTTGCGAGAGCAGTGGAGCTGCTGCCACAGTCGGTCAGGCAGGAGATGCCACCCCTAGCCTTATGCACCGCTGACCCCCCTGTGCTGCTTTTCCCCACACAACACCGTCGCCTAGCGGTTGAGAGTCTGCAGACTCTTCGGGGTATGGCCCACGACGACGCCACCATGGCCCGTTTGACATCCCTTCAGGGCCCGGGGGCAGGGGCGTGGGTCTCCGCCGTCCCTTCGCACGAAGAGGCTACCTTCACCGCAGCCGAGTGGAGCATCTGTGCGTCCATGCGCCTAGGCCTCCCCATACAGCAGCTGATAGTCGCCGGCAAGTGCGCGTGTGGGTTTGAGTTTGCTGATCCCTCTGACCCGCATCATGCCCTTCGCTGCAAGTACCAGTACGCACCTTCTCGTGTTCACGACGCGGTTAAGTTTGTGGTGGCGAAGATAGCTAAAGGGGCGGGTGGGGTCGTGACCATGGAAGACGACACGTTGCTGCCAGGGAAGAGGGTGGATGTGGCGGTGCGGAGACTGAGGGAGGGGGAGGAGCATGCGCTGGAGGTTAGTGTGGTGGACCCTATCTCGTTGTCCGCGCAGCACCATGGACAGATTGGTCGCAAGGTGGGTTTTGCCGCTAGAGAGAGGGAAAAGCGGAAGGCGGCGGACTACAAATTGCTTCTGCAGCGACATAGGGGAGTGCAGTTTACACCTCTCATTGCTGAGACATGGGGTTGCCTGGGGGGGAGTTTTGGGCGGTGGCTTAAGAAACAGGGCGACGCGCAGATTGAGGTAGCGAAGACGAAAGGGGCGGCGAGAGCTACGGGGAAAGGTTTCTCGGCTTACTTGCTTGGATCACTTAAAGCGGCCATAGGTGTGGCTTTGCAGCGGGCTCAGGCGCGTGTGATCTTGTTGCGCGCGGCGTCGATGATGAGAGGCCCAGAGGCTGTTTCGGTGGAGCGGGAGGATTTTGAGGAGGAGATGGGATGGGATGCTCCGTGGGCGGATGCGCCCTATTTGGTGGACATGCGGGTTTAGAGGGTGGGTTTAGGTGAGGGGGGTGGGGGGTTTGGTTAGATGGGGCGTATTGTTGGGGTGTCTCGTTGGGGTGTCTTGTTGGGGTGTCTCGTTGGGGGTATCTCGTTGGGGTGTCTTTTGGGGTTCCTCATGTGCTGTTCTACTGGGGTGTTCTTGAGGCTGCGTTTTCCGTTTTTCTTTCATTTAAGACATACAGCTGAATTTCTGAGGCCGACGTGGTGTGCGAAAAAAAAAAAAAAAAAAAAATCACAAGAAGAAGGGAATGCTATGAATCAGCAGGCTGTTTGGCTAGGAATTCTAGTTCTAGTTGTATTGATGATACCTCGAGTCAATTTCTGCACTGCTGCTACAGTTACGAGGGAAGTGATGGATGTGTGTGGTGATGATGCGTGGGTGCGGTACGGTGATGATGGAGATGGGATGGTCGTGTAATGCCCAGTTCCCTAGGTCGCGTGGGTGATCCAACGCATGATAGCGAAAGGTCTGACATGTTGTCAACGGATCATCGCACGGTGAGCATAGGCCCTGAAGTTACACATCCTTGCTCCAGACGGTATATTTTGATGCGACACAAGGTTCATTCTCACAAATCGGTTAAGTTTATTCCAGAAATCACACCACACAGCGACCTAATTCACAACCGGCTTCTACAAACATTGCAGCCATGGTACATTCTCTTACGTCAGCTGAGACACTATACAGGGAGCAGCACAATATTTGGCCTGCAAATCCATGGCACAGCCCTAAATGGGAGATATGGCAGCTTCAGGGGTGAAGGTGAAATATCCCAAAGCAGGAGCAGAAGCTTGCTGCTGTTTCTGATGAAGCGGCAAAAGCAAAAGTGCCGAAATCAGGAGCAGAAGCAGGCTGCTGTTACTTCTGAAGCTGCAAAAGCAGGAGAAGTGCCAAAAGCAGGAGCAGGATGGCCAAAAGCAGGTGCAGCAGAAGGAACGGGAGCCACCTGGAATGCATTGGAATGGTAGGGGCCTGGGCGGGGTGGAAGGCTGCACCAGGGTCCCGATTACATGTCATGACCAGGCCCTCAGATTGGTTTCAGGGTATGCTGATCGATCAGTGTGCAGTGCCCAAAGTGGTGTCCAAATCAGCGTTGGGGGTAAAATCTATGCTCATTTTTCAGTGTGAATTTCCAATCACGGCACATTTACAGTGGTATTGCTGGCGTAGTTGTTTGGGTCATGACATGTAATCGGGAAGATTCAGTTTCGATTCCCATAGACGGGACCTACCACTAAAGGGCTATGATTCCTTTTTGCGGGAATCCTGCTTTGAACACCCCCTATACACCCATACCCTATCATGTCCGAATCAGTGTGACTCGGTACACTATACTGATTCGTCAGTGTTACTTGTACAGCAACATGCAAAATGGTCAGTGTGACAAAATAGGTTATGCTGAAATTTCAGTGCAAAATTGAAGCATATGCTGAATTTCCAGGGAAAACGAAAATCTGAGCTACAAAATCAGCGTAATCAGCGGGTTTTACGCTGATATCTGAGGGCCTGACCAGGGATGAAGGGTGCAAGAGCTCAGAGAACGAGCAGATAGAACGGGGGATGTTGGGGGGTTGAAGAAGAGAGGCTTGTTGCTGCTGCTGAGGTGGCAACAGCAGGAGTGCAATGGCAGAAGCAGCAGGTCAAAGGTGGAAAGCAGGAGTGCAAGGGCGAAAAGCAGCAGGGCAAGGGTGGAAAACAGCAGCGCAAGGGAGGAATCAGGATCAATTGAAGCACCAGCTACTTGGATAGCCATAGTGAGGCAGAAGGCTGGGTGGGATGAAAGGCTGCACCAGGGGCGAAGTTAGAAAAGCTCAGAGAAGGAGCAGAAGAAGCGGTCACTGCTGGAGGCTTGGAGGAAAGGGGTCCTGCTGTTGCCGTGTTGCTGGGAGGAGACGGGAAAGCTGCAGTAGGAGCAGATGAGTTAAAAGGGGGAAAAGGGGCCAGTTCCCAGGGGCTTTAAGGAAAGGGATGTTGCTGTTGCTGTGTTGCTGGGCGGAGACGGGAAAGCTGCAGTAGGAGCAGATGAGTTAAAAGGGGGAAAAAGGGCCAGTTCCCAGGGGCTTTAAGGAGAGGGATGTTGCTGTTGCTGTGTTGCTGGGCGGAGAAGGGAAAGGTGCAGCAGAAGCAGATGGTTTAAAGGAGGAAAAAGGGCCAGTTCCCAAGGGCTTGCAGGAGAGGGATGCTGCTGTTGCTGTGCTGCTCGACGGAGACGGGAAAGGTGCAGCAGAAACAGATGGGTTAAAGGAGGAAAAAGCGCCAGTTCCCAAGGGCTTGGAGGAGAGGGGTGCTGCTGTTGCTGTGTTGCTGGGCGGAGACGGGAAACGTGCAGCGGCAGCGCCAAACCCAGACAACAAGGTGCCAGTAGAGGGATTGGCAGTGCCAGCCGCACTGGGAGCACCAGACGCAGCAGTGGCAGCGGCTGCGGCAGGAATAGAGGTGCCAATATTATAAGTGAAGGCACCATGAGCAGGAGTAGATGAGGCAAAAGTGGAGGACGACGTTCCAATAGCGGAAGTAGGAGCACCAGAAGCAGCAGCGGCAGCGAATGCAGCAAAAGCAGAAGTGGCAGGCCCAGGAGTGGTGGCGAAAGCTGCAAAGCCAGAAACAGCAGGCTTGGAAGCAAGGGCGGCAGAAGCAGCAGCTGTAGCAGCAGATGGAACGACAGCAGCAAATGGAGAGGCAGCAGATGAAACGGCAGAAGCAGGTGGAACGGCAGAAGCAGATGAAACGATTGCAGAAGATGAAACGGTAGGAACAGATGGAACAGTAGCAGCAGCTGGAACGGTAGCAGCAGATGGAACGGTAGCAGCAGATGGAACAGTAGCAGCAGATGGAACGGTAGCAGCAGATGGAACGGTAGCAGCAGATGGAACAGTAGCAGCAGATGGAACGGTAGCAGCAGATGGAACGGTTGTATTGGACGAGACGGCTGTATCTGCTGCTGGCAATCCGGAACCATCAGTCAAAGTATCATCAACAGTAGTCTCGGTTGTTTCTTTCCCTGAAGCAGCAGTGACCGTAGTAGTATCGTCAGTGACTGCTTCCCCAGAAGCAGCAGCCACGGTTCTATCAGTACTAGCTGCCTTTCCTAAAGCAGCAGGGACCGTAGCATCAGCAGGAACTGCTTCTCCCATAACAGCACTACTGTCACTTGTCGCTACCAAGATGGAAGATGGATCATTAATTTCCATCACTGAACACGAGGGAGGGGGGAGCAGTTTGTTAGTGCTGACAGCAACCGACGTGCTGGCGGCTGGAAGAAGACACTTAACGTCCGACTTAACCAAATCCGTCACTTTGGCAATTGTCAAAGCTCCGCCAGCGTTCGCGTCACCGTCAGCCTCAGCATCAGCGTTTCCGTCAGCGGTTCCGTCAACAACCACGTCAACTCGTAACGGATTCAGCTCCTGAAAAACGAATGCATCGTGCAAATCATCGTCCGTGGAGAGCGTGATGACGTCACCGTCCGTGTCCGTGTACGTCAGCGAGATCGGCTTGCTGGCGGGAATATCGAGGAGTGCGCGAATTCGCAGGCTGACGTGGCGGAAGGATGGAGGGGAGCAGCGGGACGAGATGCGACGCAAAACGCCGTTGCAATTGACCTGAAAGGGTGAAGAGAGAGGAGAGGTAAGAAAAGCAGAGGAAGATGGGAAGAGTGCAGAGAGTGGGGAAACGGGGGTGGGAAACAAAGCAATGGTGTGGCCAGAGTTAGATGGATGAGAAGCGGTAAGATGCTGGAGAATTGCATCGCAACACGACGAGTTGCATCTCGCAGCTCATCCGCGGGGGATGAGGAACGTCACCCATTTGCCCTGTAAAAGCGACTTATCTTGATTGAACCGAGAAGAACTTGTAAAAGCCATTTGAACCGAGAAAAACTATGCGATAGCAATCCAAACTGAAGCAAGGGAGGGGAAAGCAAGAGGAAGGAGGGATCTGGAGAGCACTAATCTACCTAACGACGTGTTGACAGCACGAAAATTCATGCTCACCTTCATGACATAAAGGGTCGACATCATGGAAACGCTACCACCAGCGTGTGGCTAATCTGGACGCAGATGATTCTACAAAGAAGATGATGTGACAATAAGGAACGGTGTACTTTCAGAAAAAAAAAAAATCTAGATATATTTCTGGCACCGGGGCGTCTGAACGAAAATGTTCAGCACCTACTATGCTATCCGCACCAATACTTGCGTCAGTGGAAACGGGAGGGAAATGATGTCTGTTCAAACTGCACAAGCAAGAAAAACAAGAAAGCGTTGGTACGACTAGAAAGAATTGCCGTGCTTGTTGTGCTGATACTGCTTGGATTACTGCTATTTATTTTTGGAGAGGAGCCATGGATCTGTGGATGGAGATGGAGGTTGTGTGGTGTTGGTGGAGTGTTCGAGCCTAGCAAGGAAGCGAGGTCAGAGTTCGTCGTGTGCAGTGGTTCGGACAAGTGTTTGCATGGCTTTTGCCTGCCTGCATAGACCTTACCGAAACCATCCTAACCGAATTCAAAACTCAAAATATAAAAACAAACCGAACCGACCGTGACAATGGCTTCCCCACAATTCAAACCCCGCCACCCCAATTTCGAGACGCGGTACGAGTTTCCCGCGTCTTTTCCGCCATATTTGTTCGCTTCAATCTGACGCTCAAATCCGGATGTCAACCAGCTTTCGAAGACTAGCGAAGTCCTTCCACCATTGATTTTGCCACTCGCATAAACTTCGAAGTGTTCGCGTGCAATTCGCTTGATTTCGCCGTGCAAAGTCGTCGGACCCTGGATTTGGATATCTTTCTCTCACTCGTTTACCTTGCGGGTGCACTCCCTGCCCTCCCCTCCCTAGGGTTTCCAACAAGCCTATTTTCCTTTGGGGCTGTTCAAAACTTCGATTTGCTGGCGAACAGCCCCTTCGTGTAAAATTTTCGCGATTCACGTTAGCTGGTAGCTTCTGGGCGAGCCATGGCGTCGCTCCTAGCATTTCCGCAAGCACAGATGAGCAGCATTTCGCTCGCTGCGTCGACATCTCAGAATGTGAGCTTCTAGAGCCTTTTGTAGCTTCTATCACGAAACGCCATCACACCCTTGTTCGTTTCCCACCCGTTTGTCTGCAAATTCCTCCTCACATGACGTTTACAATTTCTCTTTTAAAGAATTACTCATGTATCGTATTAGGATCTCCACTGCTTCGTCTCGCTGCCTCCCTCTCTCCCGGTCAGTCATTATCGGTATCACTGCCTCCTATCTCCCCCAAACCCTCTCTTCGTCCGCCTCCATCTCTTTCCGCGGGGCAGACATCTTCGCTCCGCGCCGAATTCCGCCGCGGTGACTGCCTCCTCTGCCATTGCGGTGCCCGCGCAGGCTTCCGCCGGCGCCGCCGATTCCGCCGCCGACGGCGCTGACGGTGCCGCTCAAGGTGAGGTGAGCGGCTGTGGTTGCGTCTGACTCAATGAATTCGCTTGCGTTGTCGTCCGTTGGATGAGAGCCGCTGAACGTGAGGTGAGCGGCTGTGATAGCATTTTATCCATTGAATTCTCTTGCATTGTTGACTGTTGGATGAGACCCGCTCAAGATTAGGCGAGCTGCTGTGCTGCAGCGGCAGCTGGCATTCGTGCTCACGCCGTTCGCGGATAGACTGGATTCGCGCGCGTTGAGTAGCATCATGAAACAAGTGAGTGAGAGAGTGAGTAAATAGCATGTGAGGTGTGTATGGTCACTTGGCACGCCGCTCTCGCTGCTGCAGCGGCAGCTGGCGTCGGTGCTCACACTGTTCGTGGATAGGCTCGACTCACGCGCTCTGATTTGAGCAGCATCATCAAGCAAGTTAGTGAGTGAGTGTGCTCCAATCCAAGGGTCACTTGTAAGGCTGGTCACAAATTGAATCAATCTGCAAAGGAAGTCTCCTCTCAGACGCACTGCTGCGGTGACAGCTGCCGTTCTCTATGAAAGGGTGGAAGTTCATGTGTTCACTTCCATTCAGACCGGAAAACTGACACAGTACATTGCGCCGCCTTGCTGCTCGCCTGCGTGCCGCCTTACCTCGCCCCTCGCCTCGCCGCTCTTCCTCCCCCACTCTACCCCCCCGGCATCGCCTCATCGCCTCGTTCCGCATCGCCGCCCAACCCCAGCGCCGCCTCCCACGGCGCGCCATCGCCTTTATCTCTCGCTTTCCTTCCCATCCGCCTCTCCGCCCATGCTGCTGCGCCACCCTTTCCCCGCCTCCACCCCCACGTAGTGTCCCTCGTTCCGCCCTTCCGCCGCATCCTCACGCATCCGTCGCCTTTCCCCCGCGCGGCGGCGCGGAGCGGGAGCGGCGGTAGCGGAGGCAGCGGCGGGCGCCGGGGCGGGCGACGTGCAGACATTCATCCTCACGGCGGGCGCGCTCGCTGCCGCCGCCGTCTCCCTACGACTTGCGCTCAAGGTGCCGCTCTCCGCGCACCCACTCCGCGCACCCACTCCGCCACCCCTTCTTTCCCCGTTGCTCGTCCTCCGGATCCCCCCCCCCCCTTCCAATGGCCTCCCCTCCTCACGCCTACGTTTCTTCTCTGGCTTCTATGCTCACTGCACTCATGCTTGCTACACACATGCTCGCTGCACACATGCTCGCTGCACACATGCTCGCTGCACACATGCTCGCTGCACACATGCTCACTGCACACACGCTCGCTGCACACATGCTCGCTGCACACATGCTCGCTGCACACATGCTCGCTGCACACACGCTCGCTGCACACATGCTCGCTGCACACACGCTCGCTGCACACATGCTCGCTGCACACACGCTCGCTGCACACACGCTCGCCACGCCTCACACGTTGGCCCGGGGTCACTCACTATGCGCCTCCTCTCTGCCTGCTCCTCTCTCCTGTGCCCCGCATTCTCTCCTGCGCCCCGCATGCTGTCCTGTGCCCGTGCCCCGCCTTTCCGCATGCAATGCTGCCAGGGCGACCCGGTGCCGTGTGCCAAGTGCGGGGGAAATGGTAAGAGCCTTCTCATACACCTCACTGCTGGTTTTTTAGAATTCTCAAAAACCAGCTCGCATGCAATGCTGCCAGGGCGACCCGGTGCCGTGTGCCAAGTGCGGGGAAAATGGTGAGAGCTGCTTCTCATACACCTCACTGCCATGCCACCCCCCCCAACGAAGCCTCTCGTCACTCTTCATTTTTCACATGGCGCCACATAACTCCTTGATGCACTGGCGCCATGACGTAGCACCTTGATGCGATGGCACCATGGCACCCCATGGCGACACTGCTGGCCGTCGGCCCCTCCTGCATCTTCCTGCATCTCTCTGACGCTCAATCTCAGGTTTCTCCCTGCACTTTCCCATATGTTTCCATCCCCTTTCCACCTCGTCACCCCCGTTCTCTGTCTGTCCCTCCTCTGTGCGTGTGGCGGGGCTGGCAGGAGGCACGGCGTATGTGTTCTGCGAGGGGGGTAAGATGGCCGGCAAGGATGGGCGCCTCATGGACTGCCGCGTGTGCAAGGGGGCAGGTGAGGGGCGCATGGGGGCAGGTGAGGGCGCATGGGGGCAGGTGAGGGCGCATGGGGGCAGGTGAGGGCGCATGGGGGCAGGTGAGGGCGCATGGGGGCAGGTGAGGCCGCATAGGGGCAGGTGAGGCACATAGGGGCAGGTGGGGCACATAGGGGCAGGTGGGGCACATAGGGGCAGGTGGGGCACATAGGGGCACCTAGTTCTGTAGCTAGTTCTGTACAGTATTCCCATTGCGGCATTCATAAAACCTCCTTGGATCTGCTCCTTTTCCTTGCCGCCTGATGTGCAAGACTGGTCTTTTGCAAAGAATGTAAGGGCACTGGATATGTGAAGAGATTGTAAGAAGGATGTTACTATGCAACGACCTTAACCTTAGGCTGGACACTTGTCGCAGTCGTGATGCAATGCAACCGTGCAGAACCATATGCATGCACTGCACCAAAATAGCACGCAGTAGGTAGGATATTTTTTTCCTTTCTGCTAGGCTGAGAAGATCCCATATACCCTAATCTCCCCGACATGCGCTTGGAAAGTATCATGCGCTAGGGCGTATTCCTAAACCCTGAAGTAATGCTTCCCAAGCAAAATCATACCGTACAAGTGCATATATATATGTATATATATTTATCAGTGTTGGTTTTGTGCGACTAGAATTTTGGGGGTAGCACAGCCGCGTCGCTAACCTGAAGCTTCTGGACTTTTGACTTCCGGTCAAACACATGGATAACGTACAGTACAGTACCTTGACATGATGTGGACGAAGGCGAGTTGTACACATGATGCCCGACCCATGCACGCGAATTTGCCCTGCCCGCCACAGAAACCTTGCACGCGTGCATTTGGTTCCGGGCAGTTGCCCCCTGGTTAGAGGCACGCAAAACCACTTGTGCAAGTTGGGTAATCACGACAACAGCAACATGCCAGTCAACAACAAACGCACCCGCCCCCATGTTTCCTTGTTCTTAGGCCAGGGACAGGCAGCGCGAAAACCGTGGACGAAATGGGTTTGACGTCGCGCACGGCTTCACTGCTTACCGTATGCCACGTCGTCGTGTTTCAATGTGCGCCAAACACACAAGACTCAAGCAAAATCGCCACGTGGAGGTTGCCCGTACAGCGATGACCCACGTCACCCGATGCATTGAAACGGTCTCCAGTGCATGATAGAGACCCATTCAAAGGGCCCATTCACTCCCCGAATGTGGGTTACTGACTCGGAAACGACCCTCGTGCCCAATAAACACACGTCACATCGTGTGGCGGGTGGTTACCTATGAATGTTACACGCACTTCCTAGTGCTCATTCTCCGCTGAAGGTGCACAAGGCAAAAACTCAACTTCAAACATCTTCGGAATTGCGAACAGCGAGGAGCACCAAAGGAGGATAAAATGCCGCGCATTTACACTCGACATTCATATTCTCGTCTCACTTACCTCTCTAACCATGCCTCGCCTCTACCGTCGCTCCCAGCTTCCCGTGTACATTAAGAATGCAGTCTGCGCGCATCATGTGCAGAATCCTCTTATGCGCCAGGTTGACCTGGCGCGCTGGTGTTTTACTCGATACGGAATCCGCCCCGACCGCTCTACTATCGGCCGGATTTTGAAGGGCGCTGATCGTTGGAGCGCGCCGTCAGCATCGAACAACCCCGTCCGTGTTCGGGGCGGAGCTCACCCCGACCTTGAGCGCGCAATGGTGCGCTGGATCTCGAACGCCGGCCCGGCGGGAATCCCGCTCACGCTGCAGACAATCCGCGACCACGTCATCGCACGTGACTTGGGAAAGCCGCCCTCATTCCGCTGTTCCGTGGGATGGGTGCGCCGCGCACTGCGCCGCACCCATCGATCTCGATGGCGAGATCGATGACGTGGGCATTCTCATCGATCGTCTTGGCCTCGGGCCAAGCGCGATGCCGGCCGCCGACTTTGTCGCAATCGACAACGGGCAGCCGACGTGCGCGGAGCCGGGCGAGGACCCTTTGGCCGACGAGCCCGCGTCGGCGTATTCGGCTGCGTCGTGGGAAGCGCCTACGAGCATGGAGGCTGTCTACAACGACGACAACCCCGCGTCCCGCGAGGCTCGTCGCTATGCGCGCGCCGCATGTGAGATGCTCATCGGGTACGCGCGCGCCACCAGCATCACCCCCCGCGAGCTTTGCGCCCTCTTCGAGATCCGCAACCCGATCATCATCGAGCGCATGGAGAGGGCGAGCCCGCCCCTGAACCTCAACGCGACCCCGATCGCCACCCCCAGGCCGTCCGAGACCCCGGATGCCGTGCGCGCTCGTCCCCGCGGGCGCGTCCTCCCTGCGTGGATGACGGCGCCCTCTCCTCGCCAGGCTCTCATCGATGCTGGCGCGCCTGCCGCCATGGACGGCTTCATGGACGCGGCGGAGTGGGTGCGTCTGTGAATGCGCCCAACTCCTCTCTCGGGAGTTGGTGTCTCACCAAGTGCACCAATGTCAACATCTCACTGACATTGGTGTAATGTCAGTGCTTGTTGGTGCTGTTTCATGTTGGATGAGTTGGCTTGCTGAGATTGGCCCGGGAGAGGACTGGGGATGTTTGTGAGGGAATGTGTTGTATATTGTAATGGGCCAATACGGTTTGAAGAATTAATGTGGTAACAACAATAACAGTTACGAAACAAATGCGGCAATCCAGCACTGTTTCGGGTAAAACAAACCTGTAACATTCGGTGTTTTTAATAAGCCCATGTTGGCCCATGCGAAATGCAACGAACCCCACGAAATGCCCTAACCACTTACAAGCCCAAAGCACAAGGCAACCTTGGGGGACTCTAACGAGCATTAGCTGTACCGTACAGCCCGGTTCTCGCTGTTGTGGTCTCGGCTCGGATCCATACAGTTTCTAACTGTGGCTCGTGTACAGTACAAGCAAGTTCTAAGGGCGCGCTGCACTTCTATTTTTTAATCCGAAAATGCTGAAGAAGATCGATCCAAATCCGAAATTTTGGTGAAGTTCAGGTTACTGTGCGTTTGGCGTTTACTCAACTGAATTTTGTCTTGACTGAACAGTGATACTGTTCGAGAAGTGCACCACGCTCATGTTTTGCAAGCGAACTTGAACGCCATAGCGCCCGAAACGCGAGCAAACGATACTGCAGAATTCCCCGTCAAATGCTCGAACTTGACAGAGAAGTGCACCACCCCAAAAGGTGAACTTCAGTTGCGAAATAAACGAAAAACTAGCGACGGTAACAGAATAGCTACGATGCCTAAACGAAATGATGTGATTGGCTAGGCGACGTCTACAGCGTACGTGCGACCTCATTTCGGTCGCACGGCTGGTAGGAGCTACGTTGGCAGATACGCCCTGGGCAGGGTTGCGTACCACGTATATACGCTTGCGTATATACGTGGTACGCTAATACGCTCGTATTTCTTGGAAATACGCCCGGGCAGCCCGCCGAAAAAAAAAATCGAAATCGAAAAATTTTGCGAAGGTTTTGCGACTTGGCGATTTGTTACCGCGCAGTCGCGTATCGCCCTGGGGGGGGGAAGGAGAGGATGCAGTTATGGCGGATGAGTATGGGGCAGGGGTGGTGTTGGAAAAGCCCCGCAAGGAACTCGGCTGTGTGGAGGCTAGCTAGAGGGTGGGGTGGGGATGTATGGGGTGGGGAGAAGTAGCCCCAAAGATGTATCTCTGGATAATTATGAAATTAAAAAACATGTGTTTTTGGGAAACATAACCCGCCCCCCTGAAACAGGTTTTTTTAGCCCTGCCCGGGAAAAAAGTTTTACCTGCCCGCCCGGCGTATTTTACGTATCACCAGTACGCCACCCCTAGCGTACCGCGTATATACCCAGCGTATAATACGCTAGCGTATTATACGTGATACTCGTATCTGCCAACGTAGGGTAGGAGTTCGGGTTCCCCAAAAAACCAGTCTTGGTGCATCTGACAAAGGGTGCCGATATTCTGTGTTTTTGCATGTTCAAGTTCGAAAACACTGAAAAGCGTGCAAGTTCGCCCAAAACCCGCTCCAAAGAATTTTCGAATTAATAAATAGAAGTGCAGCGCGCCCTAAGCCACACAAACACGGTGTACTGTAGCAAAATGTGTGGGAGCAAAATGTGAAACAACGGCGCTCGACATTGGCTTCTGGAGCTCAACTAGGCAAGTGACCCGCTTCCTCCTCACCTGCGTCCCACATCCTCCTCCACTCACGACACGACTAGAACGAGACCAGCGGTTTGATATCTGACCATAGTGCTCTACATGGGAAGGGGCGCCATGGGTAGATGCGCCTCGCTTTGTAGATATGCGGGTTTAAATTCCCTTGTATGTGAGTTTCGTCAGGGTGGATGGGACCGGATTTTAGGGTACGGTAGATTTCGTGCGTGACTGGATCACTTTCAGGACTCATGCGTAGGAACAGAATCTCCGCCTGTGCACGATGAATACACCCTCTTTCGCGCTAGCAGAGCATCTGGTTGCAGAACATGTACTGGTTGTAGAACGTCACCACGTTTGAAATGGTCTTATCACCAACGGTACAAGCACATTCACAAGAAAGCGGTTAGCTAGGTTGCTGCACGGTAAAGAACAATAGTTAAGCGTTTCAAAGCAGTTGGAGAGGGTATACAGCGATAAAGGAAAATTTGACGCCCCGGTACCACTCCGTCAGCTGGTGCGGCTTTGCCCGCAGGTTCAGCCATACGGTTTATGGCACCTGACCGCACTGTAGCAGCGAATCGCGCAAGGTGAGAGGGTCGAGAAAGAGGGTGTACTACGCTACATGTGGTAAGGTGGCAAGGCAACGTCTCTCATAAAGTGGGTGTCTGAATGTTTAAACCGAAATAAAACTTGAAGGGTGTCTGTTGAACAATATATGTCAGTGTGTTATTGGCGGTGACAATTGGTGAAAACCAAGTCATCGGCACTCTGAGCTTCCCAATACAGCAAGGAATTTCGTAGCCCTCTCCATATACCGTATATTGGCGACCACATTCACACACTTTCTGGTAGCATTCATCGCGAAAAGGGGAAGTGCGAAAAGCGACTCGAAATACACTCTCCCGCAACTTTCCCGATATTTTTTGCCCGACACTTTTGAGTCAAGGTTTTAGAACTGCATGGCGACAGTCACTTACACAGTAACCTCCCAGTAATTCTTCCATCACTAGCTGTACACATTGGGGCAACTGACCAAGTATACAGTAAAGCAACTTTTCCGTCAACTTTGAGCAACCTGTGCGAAAATGTCATGTCAATGCCACGGGGCGTACGCCGTACTCTAGATGAAACTCAGAACCGCTGACATGGCGGCTGTCGTACTCCAACGTCAACCGTCGGATAAGATTCTAATCGACGCACGTAATCCTGCCATGTGGCACAATCGGAGCATGCAAATTGGGGTACAGTAGCAAATTATTATTGGTTGGCGATTTCAACAAAATGGTATACTGTTCTGAGTGTTTATTTTTATTACTGTATAGTAAGTTTTCACAACGCATACACATAACTGTACACTGATTTTCTACAGCTACGCCTACATTATACTGCATTGCTTAAGTTTCTAGACCTGCGTCTCAACCCAATCATAATACAATCACACTGCACAATGCACTGCTAAGAAGCTGCACACTCTGCGAGTTAGAAACAGTTGTTACCAGTGAGAACTGTGGAAGTGAAAAATTTGTAAACAAGCAACAACAAGTTACTCACCATTTGGGTGCTTGGAGTAAGCTGTAACGGTGAAAAATAAACAATTTGCACTTCTGGTTGACGGTAAGCCTGCAAACACAAGTACGCCCTGCAACACATGCAAACAAAGCGTGCGTTTATGCATCCCGCTGGCATTGCTCCAGAGGGGTTAGCTGTTGCAGATTTTGCTAGCCTTAACATGGTAATTCGCGGCGGCTAAATCGACGGTGGTTAAGCACCCGACGACTGTACGCTGTTGCGACAGTGTCAGTCGCAACCGTTAGTGGCAAACGTAGGATTCAAGAACCGAACATCACGAGTAATAAAAAGCAAACACAAAACTCATGCACGACTCATGAAGACCTCACCAAGGATAATAATACTTAAGACATGTAGACCAAAACATGTCGTAGTAAAAACATATGCCTCACCAACAATACAATTACCTTTATCATCGAGACAGCTTCGACACAGGCGCTTTCGCGTCGCCGAATGCACGCATGTCGTCCGCAAGGTGTTGAGCCGTCAATCTGCAAAGGGGAATGGGAGGTGGGAGGAAAAAATTGAAGGTACATATCAGAGTGAGAAGTGCTTAGTGGAGAAAGATGTATGTGCAGTAAGATAAAACAGTGAACAACGAAATTTGCGAAGAACGAAGCACTATGGTAGGGCTTAGTTGCTAGTCTAAGGAACCTAGAGAGCGCGTATGCTGAACATTGCACTAGAAATCAACAAGGGGAGATTATGAGGTAGGCCAAGGGTAGTACGGGAGGTACAGGTGTGGAGGGGAGTCATGTGATAAAGATTCCCATGTTGAAAGTGAGGGGATATTGGGTGGACGTTTTTTGGGTTGGGTGTGCTGACGTGTAGGTATCGGAAGGTGCACATTGATTGACTCGTCACAGCACAACAATCATTGGTTCACAACGATTCTTGGGTCACACGTCATCCCTTATGAAGAAACCAGGTTGCATTTGTGGGTTGGGTTGGGTGGTTGGGTTCAGATTGGATACTGAACGAAAACAATGTATGCAGTTGTTGAACCTCGCTGGACTTCGTGGGTTCGATTTGTTTCGTTAAATTTGTGGTTACATTACACTGCCCTCGTCACTCTGCGAAACCGCATGGAATCTCTCTCGAACGTGCGAAACCGACTGACCCGAAGAAGTTGACGGAAAAGCAACTGGTGTACCGAATGTTGCGAGTTTCGTGCGTTGGTTTTTGGATACTTCGCGCAACTTGTACGCAAGGTTTACGCAGAAAAACCTTCGAAGGCCAAAATTCGCAACTTCCCTTTTTCGCGATGTTTTACCTTCTACGACGACCTGACTGCTAACCAGCTAGGAACCATGAGGATGCTGCTTCCGCTGGTGCTGCTTCTCGCAGGTAGTACGCAGCCAGGTTTCCGTGCTGCACTGTTACAACACGACTCGTGTCGGACAAGATTGAGTATTCCTTCATACCCCGTTTGATTGATTGTTTAAGCGTCTTCGACACCGACTAGATACCCCATTTAGATTCGACCAGTACGACATTTCGGCGAGCGGCGGGAATCGCCGAAATGTCGTGCCGCTGATAGGACGTGTCCTTTTGGTCGGCGCCGGGAATCGCCGAAATGTCCGTTTGTCGTAAAAGGTTGCAATTATATAATGTTTGTGCGGTGTTCTGTGTTCGTGTTTGCTGTGGTGTGCAGGCTTCTCGCTGGACCTTCCAGGCAATAACCGCCCTGCAGTCGCGGTGA